CAGCGTACGCCCAAGATGGTAGTCTACTGAATGGCAACGGAATATTCAGTCGCGTGTTTTGGGAATTTCAACCATGCATCACAGGGTTTGTATCATGCAAACCAATTATACAAATTGATGGGACTTAGTTGTATGGGAAGTACAAAGGCACGCTATTGATGGCAGTTGCACAAGATGGCAACAACAACATTTTCCCCATTGCCTTTGCCCTTGTCGAGGGGGAGACCGGTGGTGCTTGGAGCTTTTTCCTGAAAAATCAGCGGACACACGTGGCTCCTCAACCAGATCTCTGTTTGATCTCGGAAAAACATGCCTCCATTGAAAGTGCCTACAATAATCCAACAAATGGTTGGCATGACCCTCTTTCTACGCATGTCTATTGCGTTAGGCATATCGTCCAGAATTTCTCGAGGGAGGTCAAGGACAAAACATTGAGGAAAGCGGTTATGAGTGCGGGATATGCATTGACACAACCCACATTCAAATATTACCGCAACGAGATCCGTTTGTCTAATCCGAAAGCCGGTAGGTGGATCGACAATATTCCGGTGGAAAAATGGACTAGGTCATACGACAATGGCCAAAGATGGGGGCATATGACAACGAATCTTATTGAATCAATGAATGGGGTATTCAAAGGCATACGAAACCTCCCAATCACTGCCTTGGTAAAATCTACGTATTTTAGGATGGCTGCGTTATTTGCAAAAAGAGGTGAAATGTGGAATGCGGTGTTGCAATCTGGACAACTTTGGAGTGAAAGCTGCATGAAATACATTAAGGCTGAAAGTGCTAAAGCCAACATTCACATGGTTATACGGTTTGACCGACACAACCACAACTTCATTGTGAAAGAGACAATCGACCGCAATGAAGGCCTGCCAAGACAAGAATATAGGGTCATTTTACCTTCTCAATGGTGCGATTGTGGCAGGTTTCAAGCATTTCGTATGCCTTACTCTCATGTCATTGCCGCTTGTGCTCATACCCATCAAGACGCGTTGCAACTTCTGTCAAACGTTTACAAATCTGAAACGTTGCTCAACGTTTACAACAACAACTTTCCTTTGGTAGCAAAACCAGATTATTGGCCTGCATACGACGGCGAAATAGTGTGGCACAATGACCAAATGCGAAGGAACAAGAAGGGTCGTCCCAAAAGTAAGCGCATCACAACAGAAATGGATGATCTTAACAGGTTGGAAAGAAAGTGTGGTTTATGCCGTCAGGTCGGACACAATCACAAAAACTGTCCGAATCGGGCGTCTGGCTCGACCACATAAATATTGTAATACATAAAATATTTTCATAATTCTGTTGTAAACATTTGGGTTTTCCATTAACAGATTTTGATACAATTAATAAAACGCGTACAAAAATAACTAACGATATTCCATCTACGAAATTACAACTGTTAACACAATTTCATCTGACCCATGCATCATCAACATTACATCGCTGTCTGTTTTGACTTCCTCCAACCACACATTAGGTCTTCCTATCGCATATGAGGTTGTTGTTCATTTTCGCTGGATCCTTCGAATTTTTCCCCCTCCGCAATGTCTCCATCTAGCCATCGCATCAACTCCCGCTTCAGACGCTCCATGGAGTGAATGTGCCAGAATTTCATTTTCATCGCAGGTTTCGTGGCGGAGAAGATAACGTAACCGTCTCTGCTAAAAATCATAGGTGACGTCATGACGCAAATACCAAAGTACAAAATAAAAATACAGTGCGAGAAAGTGTGAGAAATTTCGGAGAAACAGAAAAATTATTTATAAAACAACATTTTGCTCTAGTTTTGCCCTAGGAGCCAAGTGAGATGGCGCCTCCTCTCACTTTTAAGGAGCATGCGCCATCTCACTTGGCTAAAAGCCAAGGGAGGCGCCAAGTGAGATGGAGCCTAGGGCAAAACCCTAGGTGGAGGCGCCAAGTGAGATGGCTCCTCCTTTGAGGAGTCATCTGAAACATGGTTATTTGCATAATTTTTTCCGAAACTCGTTTTTTTGTGAAATATTATTTTAATACATGGTTATTAATAAAAAAAATTCTAGAAGTCCTCTGGCCTTGTCACAGAGAAAACCATTTGTATGGGGCCCGACTCATCTGATGGTCGAGTCTCTTCCTCGGCTTCTTTCACCTTGCGGGTATCTCGGTGAAAGGCGTAATTGCATCGGTACTGCCCGAGTCTTCCACCCTTGATGAGGGTCTCGATGGCATCCTTGAGGTGGACGTAGTCTTCTGTCAGGTTCCCTGACTCCGATGGTACTGACAGTATTTTGTCCTGTCAGCATCGGACTTCGTAGGAGCAGATTGAGGTCGTCTGACGCTGCTGTCCTTGAAGTCGGTATTAGAGCACTCCGTCAGGATGCACTCTTGGGAAGCGGTAAGCAAAGTGTACTCTGAATCGCCCTACGGATCCCCTGTGCTTGCGGGAATCACGCGGTTTATCATCCCTTCTCTTCTCGCCCGTCCGTCGATAAGGGCCCACGTTCTAGTGTCGCGGGACATTACTGGGTCCGTGATTCCTCGAGTCGCGGGATTAGTTTGCTACTTCCTTCTCCTCGTAGTCCATGTAGGCCCTGGCTTTTTCGAGGAGAGCATTGAAAGACCGGGGTGGTTCGATGCCGACAACATTTCTGAACTCAATGCCCGGGAAGAGTCCTCTCTCGAGCAGGTACCTTTTCATGTGATCGAAACACAAGACTTGAATGGCCTCACGATTGAACCGGTCAATATATTCCATGAGGGTCTCATCACTTTTCTGGACGATAGCCTTAAGGGCGGCCTCAGCCTTCGGGTGTCGACGAGATGCAATGAAGGAGCTGATGAACTGGTTCTTGAGGTTTCTCCAGGAGGTGATCGACCCTAAGGCGAGGTTCTTGTACCAGTCCATGGATGTTTTTCTCAAGGTTGTGGGGAACAACCAATATTTGATTGGCCCCCCGACGTTATACTAATGAAGTATTTCCTCGAACTCGTCGATGTGGTCGACAAGATATGTAATGCCATCGTATTCCTTCAGTTGGGGAGGTTTCTCCATTCCTTTAGGAATGGGCGCCTCCATGATAGTCTGGGATAAGGGACAGCGGGGGTCATCTTCGTCGCTTCTGTATGGGGAGCGGGAGGGGGACTGATTGTAATGGCGATCATAGTGACGACCTTAGCCTCGGGGATGATCCCTTGGTCGAGGTCATATTTCTCTGTTCCCCTGTTTCTGTTTTCAGAGGATCGTCGTTCCCTGTACGCGGGGGTGAGGCCGCGTCTCCCGGTGGTTTCGGGTAGTGTTCTCTCCAACACAGAGTCTCGCCCAGTCCTTCAGGGAGAAAGGCTTCGCGATCTGTCCCATTTGTGTCTCCGCGGGGGAGAATGAGGACGGTCTTCGTTCTGATGGGGAAGAGGAGTGTCAGGTCTCCTGTGTCTCTTGGGGGCCCGACGAGTCTGTTCGAGCACCCTTAGCCACTCACCCTGCGAGAATATCAAGTAGTTTGTTTGGTTGATGGGCATGAAGAGAGCTCTGGGTGTAGCATCAGCTCCCGCGGGGACGGAGACCTCCTGGAAAGCATCTGATTCATAATTATGAGGGGATATACATCCTCGTGCGGTCGAGATTGGGATGACGAAGAGGCAGTCAGTCTGTCTCTATAGTTCTGCTCGAGATCGACCATGTGGATGTCGTTTCCGACATTGTCGTTACCAATGTTGTCGCCGACGTTGTTGTTGAGGTCAGCGAGATGGGTGTTTTGGTTGTTGTTGGGCGCTTGGTCGGCCATGACAATCACAAAGTTTGATGGAGATTTGTTTTAGTCTTGAGATAGAGACGAGGAAGCTGGATTTCCACATACGGAGCCACTGATCGTACCTGACTAGAAGGGATTGTCAAATCCCATAAACTTCGAGCCGAGCAGCGGTTGGATGTGAAGTGAGGGGGAGTACCTGCAAGACATTCCAATGCCAAAATGAGGTTCAGAGCAATACAAACAAGTATGAAAGTGAATATGAGAGAATGAATACCTGACCCTCTCAAGTGGGAAGATATTTATAGCCCCAGCGCTGGGCCAAGATCCCCATCGTTGGGCTGGGCAAGCAGGCCCAAAATGGAGACTGTCAGGTCCTACGTGCGTAGTGGGGTCCAGCACGTGGTTTCCAACCTGGATGGATACCTCCGAACTATCAGGGGATATGGATGCGGTCTTTTCGAGACCAAGAAAACTCTGTGATATTCAGAGGTGTTGAGAGTCATCCCTACAAGGAGGATGCTTGTGAGGTACTTATGTCCATCGTGGACCCTCCCCGCCAACTGTGAAGTTGTTCCCAGAGAATTTGTCTTGGTCGACAAGAAGAGTGGGGTATGCTTGTGAGGTCTTCCTGATCATTTTCGGCCCTCCTCGTCATTCCTAGGATTATCCCTGTAAGACAAAGCCATGTCGACCAGAAAAACAAGATTACTGTCCGAACTAATCGAGGACAACCGTTAACAGATTATCCCACATAATACAATCAGATTGAACTTTATATGATGTTTGAGCCAAACGCAGATCCAATCCAAAACAGTTTGATAATAATATGAAAGTTGTAACCAGTAATTTTGTTGAGTTCAAAACTGAAGTCAATAGATTTTACGGTCTAATAATATTGTTGGACTATTAGCATATAAATATTGATATTGATATAATTTTATAACCTGTATTTTTTATGACATTTCTTTCATTTAATATACATAACAACAATAATTGACCGCTGCTATATTTTTCTTTCCAAATACTCCCCTGGGTTCGGAAACTCAAAAACTTTCAATCCAATTACTTATTCAAGACAAAGACATACCAGCTGTAATCTCAAATGAAAATATCATTATCAGAAAAATCATACATTTTACATAATAACAACAATAATCATACATATAAATATGATCTCATTTGTCGACGGTCCGCGTGGTCGGCCGCGATCATCTAATACAAACACACGGTCCCACATCTCATCCAACGGCCAAGATTGAATCATATCCTCTGCAGCTTCTCCGCTCTTATCAAAGGATTCGCTCTCGCTATTTCCTCTCTCCCCACCGTCTTAAAATCAAACCCACACCCGTGTCTCTCCGGGTACCTGTGGGCCCCACAAAACATAGACCCACACTTACACTTAAACCCGGTCAATCCCACGCGCTTTCTGCAACTCAAGCATCGGTTCGGTTGAACCGGTATCTGAGTCACATAACTCGGCGCGATCTCTGTCGGAGCCACCGTCGAAACAACGGCGGACTCTGACAAGAAAAGCGGCGGTGAGGCGATGGATGCAATAGATGCGACGGATGCGATTGATGCGGCGGAGGAAGAAGATGAGAGAGCGTTTTCGATGGTGGATTTGGTGGAAGCGTCTTGTTGATTCTTCAACCGGATATCACCGTAGCATTTCGAGCAGAGGTTCATGGTGGCCGGATTACCGATTATACCGCAGTTGTTGGCGCAGAGACGGTGGCCTTCAGGAGCTTGACACGGTTGTTCTTCCGCCATCGGTGTATCTTGATTGGATCTGTTGATTCTCTTCTTTGAGGAAACGTGAATTCAAGAGAATTCTCTGTAGCTACAATAATATAAAGGGAAAAGAGAGAGAAAAATCAGAGAAAAAAATGGAAAATACAGATAATTTTTTTTGTTTATTATTTTGGGTTTTCTATAACAAACTATGGTTTTAAATAGGTGAAATGAGTTGTTATAACGAAATTTATATAAGGAAATAACAATTAGAGTAAAGATTAATTATGAAGGAGATAAAATAGTACCTAGGTGATGAGGGGGGTGGAGGGTGAGAAAGAAAAAGGGAGGTGAGGTGAGAGAGGGATGGGAAAGGGGGTTAATAAGAAGAAAGAATGGTGGTTTGAAGGAAAAAGGAATCTTAGCGGGGAAGGATGATTACCGTCAGGAATGATGTGGTGATGGATAAAAGGAAGAAGCGGCGAAACTCGACAAATATTAACAATCATTTTTTATTGTTGTTGATATTTTGTATTAAATAATGAGAGTATAATATGATTTAATAAATAAACTATTAATAAGATGAGATGATAGGACACTATCTTTTAAGAATGTGCAAGATTCAAGTTAAGTATGGGACATGTCCAATTTATTGTTTGTATGGTTTGTATAGTCAAATATACTAATGGATTGAGTAATTATCTATTTTCATTGTATAAGTAATAGTATTACTATAGAAGATTAGTTTTTGAGACATGGCATGCTGGCAAATGCTAGTGTTCCGTTTATAAATAAAAAATTATGTGTATGTTGGTAATAAGGAATTATGAATGAGTGATGATGTTTTTCAATTTGATTATGGTAATAGGTAAGTGTAATACGGTGACAGAATCGACTGTTTATATTGATTTTGTGTTTTTATTTGTAAATGTTATGGTAAGTCAGAGTCGTCACCGACTTTTCTTTTATCCAACAAAGAAAAGGGTGAAAAGAACATTAAAAAAGACTTGTCGACAATTTTCTGAGTAAGGGGGTAGATTATGGAAAGGGAATGTGTTAGCACCATTTCCATCCGTACTTTTCTACAGGCTCTTAGATACTTAATTTATTTTGAAATACATTGTGCTTTGTGTGTTTTGAAAAGTATTTTTGAAATGCCAATAGTAAGACAACTTGCTTTATGATAACTCTTGTATCAGTCCTCAAGAGTGTTGATAAAGCGATTTTTGAAAATGTTTTTGAAAATGTTTTGTGTATGTGTAAAAGTTTGTTTGAGCAAGCATCTAGGAACTATCTACTTTTACTCGAAAGAGTCGTTTTTTCCCTCTTTTCCTTTAGACAGTGTTATCCTACTATTAGTGAGTAGGTAGTCCTAGACGTTGGATGTTTGAGGGACATTCGAAGGGACGTTTATAATCACACAGGAAACTGGGCGAGAAACCTCAGTAAATACCCTAGGGTTTTGTTGTACTCCAAAATTTACCTTCTCATATTTTTCAAAGATTTTCTCTTGCATGAGTAGTTACAAACATTTGCCTAAAGAAAAGGAAATTTTTTGAATGATGGTTAAGTATCCTTCATTTGGCATCTACAAAGTTCCCTTCGATTGACATCTGCAAAAGGTCTTTCGATTGACATACTAAAGGGTCTTTCGATGGACATCTTAAACAAGGCAGCTTTGATGGACATCTTAAATAAGATTTTCTTTCGTTAGGGCATACAAAGTGTCCTTCGAAAAGCATGTTAACCAAGTGATGCTTCAATGGCATATCAACAGGGTGGCATTCTGATTGTGCAAGATAGAGAAAGTGAGATCGAAGAGAGCAAGAACTGAGAGGGTTCCAGAAGCTTTGATGATGGGCCATTCGAATTCATGCAGATTGGAGAGTGTTTACCTTGGTATTTAGTAAACAACCGCTGATCCTCCAAATGGTTACTTATTTGGTTACTCGCAGGATCGATCAGATTGATTCTAGGACATAGGTTGATTTTGAAGTTTTGATTAAATTGGCTATGGGTTAAGTGACAATAAAATAAAGAGGCTTTAAGTAAATTGCATGAAGAAAGGACTTGGTAAAATAAATAAGGCTTTAAATGAAAGGGTTCGACAGGAAAGTAAAGAGGAAAGCAAGTAAATTTCTGGAAAAGTAAATGACTTTGATTAATAAAGTTGGTGTTTCACACATACATTTCTCAACAATTCTTTCTCACACGCTGGGTACTCGAATCTATATGAGTGACTTTGTATAGAATTGTGAACACACGCGAGAAACTACATGACTACTACTATTTATACTAAAACATCCCAAGTAACCGTCGGGCAGTTACACTGCTTCGAGATGATTCCACTTGGCACGTTCTCAACGTTTGACGCTCCAGATCTTTGCACGTTGCACCTGGTAACCGCTGGAAACCGTTTTCCCTCCAAACGCTTGAATTTCAAACCGTTCCACTCTGAACCATCGAACACCTTCGTCGAGAAGCATCTTCGACGAGAAACACCTTCAACGTCGAAGGCAATCAACTTCTCCCTTGGAAGAAATCTTCTAAGTACCTTGCCATCTTTCGATGGGCATTTCGACGGACCTAGCTAGTCGAAAACATCCTTCAGCTTTAATGGCTGACATTAATGAAACAAGAGTGTCAAATTTAGGAGCCAACAAATTGCCCCCCAAGAATGCCTTATTTCGACTCTGAAAGAAAAAGGCATTCTTTGAAACGCCATTCGACACCTATCTTTTCACGCTTAGTCACAAATTAAATTGTGCACTTTTTGTTGTCTTCTACCAACCACTGGCAATCCCAAGAAAAACCATCATTTATCCGTACCTAAGACGTCACCTCAGTACGGCGTGCAGTGCCAAACGTCATTTCAGAATTTGTCATTATGACAAATCCCAAAAACGAGGACGCACGCTGCGTCCCTCTATTTCTGTAGAACGGCTAAAACAACAGGGGGATGCCACGTGTCCCACTATCTCCTGCAATAATTAAATGGCATTTAATGTCCTCGGTTTTGGGGATTTTCCCCCACTACTATAAATAGCAGTAAGTACCCCATTGTGGGACTTTTTACGCCATCTAGCTTTCAGACTTCTCTGTTTTCATACAAACTTGTCGTCTTTGCAAAACCCTTTCTTTCTTCACTTCGTCTTCAACCTCACCATTTAACAATGGCATCTGGTTCCAATGCTCCTAGCGCTACCGTACCATCTGGAAACGCCAAACCTAAGGTTTTCGTCACCGCTTCAGTAGTAACTTCTACGGGCCAACGAAGGGTCCCTGAACCCTTGGACATCGCCGTCCGTGACGCTTACTCACACCACCTTATGATCCCGGTTGGATACTCCAACCAGATCTTTGCTATGTCTGGCCCCTTGTATCCAAGTATTGCTGAGGCCATGAAGATCAAGAGTTATTTTCCGGTAGTTGAGAAACTCAAACCGGTTGCATGCGCCAGGAAAGACGCAGAGGACAATGAAGACCCTGCGCATGAAAAAATCGACCTCCGTTTCTTCAACAAAGTTGTTAGGGCTTTCAGGTCTGGCCCTAGCCTTACTCCTGATTACGTTGCTTGGTTGGAAAAGATGGAGAGACGCCAAGCTTCGATATGGAAAGATATGGGGATTTTCGACCTGGTGATGCTGTCGAAGACAGGTTTGAACTATTCTCCGGAGATGCTGATAGCTTCTCTACTTTTCTGGGACTACTCCCACTTTACTTTCCATCTTCCCTGTGGGATGCTGACTCCTACACTCTTCGATGTGGCCGCTATCACTGGCCTTCGACCCACCGGGGACTACTTCGATCCGGAGGAGATGTCGGAGGATCAAATTGGATTCTCTGACACCAAACCAACTTATACCACCTTCATCAATCATTACCACGACAGGTCGACAGATACTGTGTCGGATGTCGAACACATAGCGTTTCTAGCCTTATGGCTGACTCGCTTTGTATTTTGCTCGAAGTCCTTACAGGTGACCAAGAAGATGGTCACTCTCGCCACTCAACTCCATCATGGCCAAAATATCTGTTTGACAGAATTGATTTTGGCCAGCCTCTATGATTCGATTAGTAATGGGGCAACTCTTCTAAAAATTATCGAGAACAGGGCCAGTTTGCTACTTGCTGGACCTTTTTGGCTGCTCCAACTGTGGCTCAATGCCACCTTTGAATCTTTCTTGCCTAATAAAGTTCAAATAAATGAGCAGGCTCCAGAGATAGCGAACAGACGCGTCGAAGGAACCAGACTGGCTCTGTTGACGCCTATGGAAGATGGACTGGAGTTTCAGCAAACTTTCACCAACTTCGTTCTGATGTTTGCTCGAAGGAAAGAGTTTGCTTCGACTATGGCTCCGTTTGCACGACGGAAGGTAGGCCCAGCATGGTTCACAAGGCCACATCCAAGGACGTCGAGTGGTCCTAATGTTGACGAACATACAATACTGTGGGAGGCGTTCCTCACACCAAGGATCATGCCTCTTCGATTCAGGAGCTCTAAGACTCACTTGAGTCTGATTGCATACCAACCAAATCTGGTATCTCGCCAGTTTGGTATTATTCAAACCTTACCTTCTCCAATTTTTCCAAGAGAGAAGTCTATGTTGTACTTCTGCAATGATTACACCGAAGAAGCTGCCACTAAACATATCGGAAGATATGCTGGTCGAACAGTCCTCTCGTTGTTTGACTACCAACTCAACTTTCTTTGCTCACCATCCTTCGAGGAGTGGTGGAAAAGTTATTACGCTGAGGAGTTTTTCGATGAGAAAGACTTCGTGGATGAGCTTCAGAAATCTTTTGTCCTTGTGTTGGACAAAATAAAGAAATGTAAGTTCATCCTCTCACATTACTTTGTCTTTCTCTTTCGACTGCTAGCCTGTTAACTATTTATTTGATTTCAGATGTTCGAAAGCCTGTAGCCAAGAAGGCTGCAGAAAGCCAACAGGGAGGATGCCCCTCAACAAAACCTCGACCGCCGGCGAAGACTACAGCGCCGGCGAAGACCACAACCAACCAACAGGGGGAAGGCCCTT